TATCCCCCCTTATGTATTATACATGGTGATCATATCCCCCCTTATGTATTATACATGGAGATCATATCCCCCCTTATGTATTACACATGGAGATCATATCCCCCCTTATGTATTACACATGGTGATCATATCCCCCCTTATGTATTACACATGGAGATCATATCCCCCTTATGTATTATACATGGAGATCATATCCCCCCTTATGTATTATACATGGAGAGCATATCCCCCCTTATGTATTATACATGGAGAGCATATCCCCCCTTATGTATTATACATGGAGATCATATCCCCCCTTATGTATTCACATGGAGATCATATCCCCCCTTATGTATTATACATGGAGATCATATCCCCCCCTTATGTATTCACATGGAGATCATATCCCCCCTTATGTATTATACATGGAGATCATATCCCCCCCTTATGTATTCTACATAGAGATCATAACCCCCTTATGTATTATACATGGTGATCATATCCCCCCTTATGTATTATACATGGAGATCATATCCCCCTTATGTATTATACATGGAGATCATATCCCCCTTATGTATTATACATGGTGATCATATCTCCCCCCCCTTATGTATTATACATGGTGATCATACCCCCCTTATGTATTATACATGGAGATCATATCCCCCCTTATGTATTATACATGGAGATCATATCCCCCCTTATGTATTATACATGGAGATCATATCCCCCCTTAATCTCCTCTTCTCAAGTAAGAATAAATTCAGTTCCTCTAATCTTTTCTTGCCTCTTCTCAAGCTGAGCTCCTCCATGCCTCTTATCAGTTTGGTTGCCCTTCTCTGTACTTTCTCCAGTTCCCCAATGTTCTTTTTGTAAATTGGTGCCCAAAACTGAACTGCATATTCCAGTTGTGAAATTGACCCCTTCTATAAAAATATGTATCTGGAAAACTATATCCCATTAATAAATGAAATAAAGGAGGAGTTGGGAAGGGTCTCTTGGATTGGGCATATAACTTTGGTTAAAATGGTGATAGTTCCAAAAATCCTATATAAATTTCATATGCTCCCAGTCGATATTCCAAAGTCTTTCTTTGTGATAATAAAAAAATGAAAATTTAAATATATATGGACTAATAAGAAGCTGAGAATCAGGTATGAACTCCTGTGTAATAAGAAAGAAAAGGAGGATTAAATTTGCCCGATATTAAGAATTATTACACTGCAGTGATACTTTCACGAATTGTAGACTGGATACATAACTCACAGGGGAAGAGTTGGGCTAAAATAGAAGGCACTTCAAGTAACACGCGATTAGAGAGGATTATTTGGATACCACAGAAGTTTTGTAATGTGGCTGGGACTAGTAGTACACTGACACAGGAGGTGTTAAGAGTATGGGATGGATTACATAAATAAATGGAATGGAAGTGTACAGTGAGCAAAAGAGTATTTAGTCAGCCACCAATTGTGCAAGTTCCCCACTTAAAAAGATGAGAGAGGCCTGTAATTGGCATCATAGGGAGACCTCAACTATGAGAGACAAAACGAGAAAAAAAAATCCAGACAATCACATTGGCTGATTTGGAAAGAATTTATTTGCAAATTATGGTGGAAAATAAGTATTTGGTCAATATGAAAAGTTCATCTCAATACTTTGTTATATATCCTTTGTTGGCAATGACAGAGGTCAAACGTTTCCTGTAAGTCTTCACAAGGTTGGCACACACTGTTGCTGGTATGTTGGCCCATCCTCCATGCAGATCTCCTCTAGAGCAGTGATGTTTTGGGGCTGTCGCTGGGCAACACGGACTTTCATCTCCCTCCAAAGGTTTTCTATGGGGTTGAGATCTGGAGATTGGCTAGGCCACTCCAGGACCTTGAAATGCTTCTTACGAAGTCACTCCTTCGTTGCCCGGGCGGTATGTTTGGGATCATTGTCATGTTGGAAGACCCATTGACGTTTCATCTTCAGTGCCCTTGCTGATGGAAGGAGGTTTGCACTCAAAATCTCACGATACATGGCCCCATTCATTCTGTGCTGTACGTGGATCAGTCGTCCTGGTCCCTTTGCGGAGAAACAGCCCCAAAGCATGATGTTGCCACCCCCCCATGCTTCACAGTAGGTATGGTGTTCTTTGGATGCAACTCAGCATTCTCTCTCCTCCAAACACGACGAGTTTGTGTTTCTACCAAACAGTTCTATTTTGGTTTCATCTGACCATATGACATTCTCCCAATCCTCTTCTGGATCATCCAAATGCTCTCTAGCAAACTTCGGACGGGCCCGGACATGTACTAGCTTAAGCAGGGGGACACGTCTGGCACTGCAGGATCGGAGTCCCTGGCGGCGTAGTGTGTTACTGATGGCAGCCTTTGTCACATTGGTCCCAGCTCTCTGCAGGTCATTCACTAGGTCCCCCCGTGTGGTCCTGGGATTTTTGCTCATCGTTCTTGTGATCATTTTGACCCCACGGGGTGAGATCTTGCGTGGAGCCCCAGATCAAGAGAGATTATCAGTGGTCTTGTATGTCTTCCATTTTCTAATTATTGCTCCCACAGTTGATTTGTTCACACCAAGCTGCTTGCCTATTGCAGATTCAGTCTTCCCAGCCTGGTGCAGGTCTACAATTTTGTTTCTGGTGTCCCTCGACAGCTCTTCACCATAGTGGAGTTTGGAGTGTGAATGTTGGAGGTTGTGGACAGGTGTCTTTTATACTGATAACAAGTTCAAACAGGTGCCATTGATACAGGTAATGAGTGCAGGACAGAGGAGCCTCTTAAAGAAGAAGGTACAGGTCTGTGAGAGCCAGAATCTTGCTTGTTTGTAGGTGACCAAATACTTATTTTCCACCATAATTTGCAAATAAATTCTTTCCAAATCAGCCAATGTGATTGTATGGATTTTATTTCTCATTTTGTCTCTCATAGTTGAGGTCTCCCTATGATGCCAATTATAGGCCTCTCTCATCTTTTTAAGTGGGAGAACTTGCACAATTGGTGGCTGACTAAATACTTTTTTGCCCCACTGTAATTCACTGTTGATTCCCCTGGTGGGTACAGATTTCCAGGGAAGGATAATATCTCGGGGAAATTGTTTAAGGATATAGACGCACGGTTCGGGGATCTAGTAGTTAAGGGGGAGTTGTGCACTTTTCAAGATTTAAAGAGAAAAAAAGAGATATTTGTAGTATTATTATTATACAGGATTTATATAGTGCCAACAGTTTGCTCAGCGCTTTACAATATAAGGGAGACGGTACAATTACAACACATTTCAGTACAGAAGGAATAGGAGGGCCCGGCTTGTGGAGTTTACAATCTAAAGGAGGGGGGGAGGTGATACAAAAGGTGATAGCTGCGGGGGATGATCTAGTGGAGGTGATTCAAGTACAATTCTTAGGTGGAGGTGGGGTAGGCTTCCCTGAATAAGTGAGTTTTCAAAGATCGCCTAAAGGCAGACAGGGTGGGGGCTGACCAGACATACTGTGGTAGGGAGTTCCAGAGGATGGGGGAGGCCTGGAGGCGAGCGTGGGAGGAGGTGATGAGGGAGCTAGAGAGGAAGATATTTTGGGCGGAGCGGGCGATTTGGACGATATCTGCAGATGAGGTCGGTGATGTAGCTAGGGGCAGTGTTGTGGATGGCTTTGTAAGCTGTGGTTAGTATTTTGAATTTTATACGTTGGGTTACTGGAAGCCAGTGGAGGGATTGGCAGAGAGGGGCAGCAGTCGCTGATTGGTTGGTAAGGTGTATGAGTCTAGCAGCAGCATTCTTAACAGACTGAAGGGGGGATAGCATTACATGAATTGAGATATTATCAATTAAGACATTTTGTTTCGAAGCTGCCCCAACCCCTGAGGATGGCGGAGGACTTGCTCCCATTCGAAAAGCTGTTGGGCTGTAGTTTGGCTCCACAACAAGTCACTTCTGGGATTTATAAGATACTTACTGAATTGAGGGGGGCGGATCCTCCTCGATTCTTAGAGAAATGGGAAAGGGATTAAGCACAGAAGAATAAAATGTTTAAATGAACACGAGGTGACGAATATGAACACAGTTGAAATGAATGATAAATGTTTGGCGAGATGGTATTTGACACCAAGTGTTGCACATAGACAACGGACAGAAGTCTCACCGCTCTGTCTGAGGGAATGTGGAGCTAAGGGAACAACGGCTCATATATGATGGGATTGTCCAAAAATACAGCGGTTTTGGCAAGATATAATCCAACTTATACAAGAGATATTGGGGATAACCATACCGAAGGATCCGTGGGTGTGTATTTTATAGGTCAGATGTACCGGTGAAACAGTATAAATATAGCGCAGGGGTGGGCAACTGTGGCCCTCCAGCTGTTGTAGAACTACAAGTCCCATGAAGCATTGCAAAACTGACAGTTACAAGCATGACTCCCAAAGATAGAGGCATGATGGGACTTGCAGTTCACCAACAGCTGGAGGGCCACAGTTGCCCACCACTGATATAGTGCATTATAACATGGGCAGCACAGTGGCTGAATGGTCAACACTTCTGCCTGGCAGTACTAGAGTCGTCGTTTCGAATCCCAACCACGGCACCACCTGCCTGGAGTTTGCGTGTTCTCCCTGTGCCTACGTGGGTTTCCTCCAGGTACTCCGGTTTCCTCCCACACTCCAAAGCAATGCTGGTAGGTGAATCAGTTCCTAAATTGTCCCTAGTATGTGTATGTATGAATGTGAGTTAGGGACCTTAGATTGTACGCCCCTTGAGGGTTAGGGACTGATGTGAATGTACAATTATATATGTAAAGTGCTGCGTAAATTGACAGCGTTATATAAGCACCTGAAATAAATACCATCTAATTAGCACGGCCAAAGGGCTTATTTTCAAATTTTGGCAGATACAGGAACCTCTAACTATGAGGAACTGGTTAGAGAGGGATGACTATATAAACAAGATGGAGGAGTTATACCATATAGACGAAGGTAAAATAGAAACATGTGGAAAGGAATGGGGAAGATGGTTTGACTTTGACCCCCAGTTCACACCTATGCGGCCATGCGGGCCGCATTTTGCACAGGCACGAGAGCCCATTCATTTGAATGCACTCCCGTGTCTGTGACACGCAGCAAAGAAGTCCCTGCACTTCTTTGGAAAACGCAGCCCGCACAGGAACCTCGGTTCCCAGTATGGTTGTGTTTTCCTGTGCAGGTGGCGTGTCATTAGAACTAACATGCAGCCGTACAGAGAAATGCGGACCTGCGGGCGGCGTGCCATTAGAACTAACGTGCAGCCACACAGAGAAATGCGAACCCGCGGGCGGCGTGTCATTAGAACTAACATGCAGCCGTACAGAGAAATGCGGACCCGCTGGCGGCGTGTCATTAGAACTAACGTGCTGTGCACCACCCGCACAGAGAAATGCGGACCTTTAGGCGGCGTGCCATTAGAACGAATGTGCAGCCACACAGAGAAATTCGGACCCGGGGGCGGCGTGTCATTAGAACTAACGTGCAGCCGTACAGAGAAATGCGGACCCGCGGATGGCGTGTCATTAGAACTAACGCGCTGCGCACCACCTGCACAGAGAAATGCGGAACCGTAGGCGGCGTGCCATTAGAAGGAACGTGCAGCCACACAGGCGGCGTGCCATTAGAGAAATGCGGACCAGCGGGGCGGCGTGTCATTAGAACTAACGTGCAGCCGTACAGAGAAATGCGGACCCGCGGATGGCATGTCATTAGAACTAACGTGCAGCCGCACCACCTGCACAGAGAAATGCGGACCCGCGGATGGCATGTCATTAGAACTAACGTGCAGCCGCACCACCTGCACAGAGAAATGCGGACCCTCAGGCGGCGTGCCATTAGAACGAACGTGCAGCCACACAGAGAAATGCGGACCCGCAGGCGGCGTGCCATTAGAACGAACGTGCAGCCACACAGAGAAATGCGGACCTGCAGGCGGCGTGCCATTAGAACTAATGGCACCCGCCCACGGCTCTGCAATTCTCTGTGCGGGTGGTGCGGTTGCACAGATTTTCATGCGGATCCAAAGCGGAACAACCAGCACAGAAGAGAACCTAGGGTAAGACATCCGGAGAAAATCTGTAAGTAGTGGGAGGCCCAGTGACCCGACCTGCGGTAGGAGATTTAAAGGGAATGCCTTGTATGACCGTAGCTAAAAGAGGAAAAGGGAAAAGAAAGGTTGGAGGGAAAGAAAGAATAATAAGAAAAAAAAGAGGGTATAGACATGCATTGGATTGTTGGATAATATGGGAGGGGGGGGGGTTGCGTGGAGGGTGGGGAGGGGAGGAGGTTGGCATGGGAAAATTAGGAGAATTGTTTGTATTTTAGATGTAAATGATATATGGTTGTGTTTTTTTGTAAAAAAATAAATAAATAAAATCCCTGCCAATCCCTTCACTGGCTTCCAGTTGCCCAGCGGATTAAAATTCAAAACGCCGTTCATAACTCCGCCCCAAATTACATCACCGATCTTGTCTCTAAATACCATCAACACCATCCTCTCCGCTCCTCGCAAGACCTCCTGCTCTCTAGCTCCCTCGTCTCCTCCTCCCATGCTCGTCTGCAGGATTTCTCACGGGCTTCACCCATCCTCTGGAACTCCCTACCCCAAGCTATCGCCTACTCTGCTCGCTTTTAGGCGCACTTTGAAAACTTATCTCTTCAGGGAAGCCTATCACGACCCCAGCTAATTACTGGAAACCTCTACTCCCCCAACCACTCCATCCCCCACAGCTAATTACCTTTTGTACCACTATCCCCTCCCTCCTAGATTGTAAGCTCCCAGGATCAGGGTCCTCCTATCCCTCTTGTATTGAATTGTATTGTTGCTGTATTGTCTCCCGTTATATTGTAAAGCGCTGAGCAAACTGTTGGCACCATATAAATCCTGTATAATAATAAAAGATATAATAAAAAAAAACTCCCTTACTATATCCAAAATGAAAAACAAATCTTCCCAAAAAAAAATCTTTTAAAGCCACAACTACCAATGTAGAACGCGGCGCTGGAAGGTGCTGTCTCAGTACATACAGGACAGAAGCAGGTAAGAATTCTGCATTAACTGTTTGGGGTGGACAGAAGTGATCCAGAGGAGTTGGGTTTCTTTATTCGTATTTTCTTTTTGAGGCCAACCAAGCCTACACTTCAGATTTTATTTTTCCACAAGAATCTGGCCTCTCAGCATCATCCATTATTTATGAAGACTGGAGGTGTTGCCTATAGCAACGTGCTAGGGCATAAAAAGAAGGCAGCTGATGAGCAATGTCTTCATTGATACGGCTAAGTAGGCAGGAGGCGCCCTGAGAGGTGGTCTCTCTCACTACCATCCCTCCTGGCAGACCCTTCACTCACCTGCACTCCCAACCTCCGCTTACTGCGCCACCTCCAATATGGCGCCTGCCCTACTTCCGCCGACCTCGCCACCATAGAGCTGTAAGAAGCTCCGCCCTCCTCGCCCCGCTCTCTGTGGTGGTTCGGTCCTCCGTGCTCTCTCCCCATTGGTTGGGTCGCACGCTGTTCCCGCCCGTTCCCTCTGCGGCGGAAGTGACGCAGTGGAGCGGCAGTGCGGTGATGACATCTCGGCGGAGCTAGAGAGAGATTGACTGGCAGCTGGGCGATGTGAGAGGCGGCCGGGTCGGGGGACGGAGGGGTACCCGGGTCACTGACTGACTCACTCTTCAGCCGGTGAGTACGCCGGGGTGGGGCAGCGGCCTACCGCTGTGTGCGTGTGATGGGTTTGAGTCGGGGGAGGGGGGCCTGCTTCTCCGGCTGTGTTGCCCGTAGCAACCTTTCTGTGCGCTCAGGCCGTGGCGGGAAATGAAAGGGAGGATTTGTTTGTTTGCTGGAGGCGGTGGGGGGTTAAGTGCGGGCCTCGTGTGTGTGCGGCCCACCTGAGCTCCAGCTGCTCCCCTGTCCTGGGCTGACCTGCCCTAGCAACAGGAAAGGGAGAGTCTGATTGGTTGCTAGGGGCAGCTGTGGGCCACGTGCGTGCTTCACCTCTGAGCTCCAGCTGCTGACCTGCCCTAGCAACAGCAATGGGGGGAATAGCTGATTGGCTCATTGAGGGCAGCACAGACAGTCCGTATGTCAGGCTTCTCTGTGTTTTTCCAGCTGTAAGGCCCTATATTATCTTGTCAGGTTATCTGCATATACTGAGGGCTGCTGGCTGGTCCCCCATTGCCGTGGCCAGTCCCCCATTGCCGGTCCCTCATTGCCGTGGCCAGTCCCCCATTGCCGTGGCCAGTCCCCCATTGCCGGTCCCTCATTGCCGTGGCTGGTCCTCATTCCAGCACAGCGGATCCCCAACATTGTATGCAGGATCCCTGGACAGACTGCCCCTGTCTGCTGGAGGAGACGCACGGCCGCAAATGGCTGGTATGCAGATCCTATGACTTAAACAGGAATAGTATCACATGTCCGCTCCACGGTTTACCATGTAAAAGTCTTGTGACTCTTCCTAGGCTGAGATATCATCAGTCTGCTGCAGGCAGGAGCAGACATTTCCTCAGTCTCCCCTCCCCCAGTGATCAGACTGCGACATAACTCTGTCTAGACTGAGATGATCTCCTTGATTGCTGCAGGCAGGATGAAGCATTGCCCCAGTCTCTTCTCCACCAGGGGTGAGAGTTCAACATTGTAACCCTACCTTGGCTGAGATGATCTCCTTGATTGCTGCAGGCAGGGGGAAGCCTTGCCCCAGTCTCTTCTCCACCAGGGGTGAGAGTGCAACATTGTAACCCTACCTGAGCTGAGATGATCTTGATTGCTGCAGGCAGGAGGAAGCATTGCCCCAGTCTGTTCTCCACCAGGGGTGAGTGCAACATTGTAACCCTACCTTGGCTGAGATGATCTCCTTGATTGCTGCACGCAGAAGGAAGCATTTCCCCATTCTCTTCTCCACCAGGGGTGAGAGTGCCACATTGTAACCCTGCCTAGGCTGAGATGCTGTCATCAGTCTGCTTTAGGCAGGAGGAGGGATGTCCTCAGTCTCCTATCCTCCAGTGATCAGACTGCGACATTATAACTTTACCTAGGTGAGATGATGCCATCAGTCGCAAGAAGCTATATTTTCTCAGTTTCCTTTCCTTCAGTTATCAAACTTCAACATTATAACTTTGCCTAGGTTGAGATGATCCTCTTGATTTCTGCACACACGTGGAAGCATTGCCTCAGTCTCTTTTCCACCAGTGAATGCAACATTCTAACACTGCCTAAGCTGAGATGGTCATCAGTCTGCTGCATGCAGATGGAAGCATTTCCTCAATCTCCTCTCCCACCAGTGATCAGACTAACATAACTGCCTAGGCTGAGATGATGTCATCGGTCTGCTGCATGGTGGAGGAAGCATGTTCTTAAGTTTCCTCTCCACCAGTGATCTGGCTGTAACATTGTTACTCTGCCTAGGCTGTGATGTTATCATTTGTGGCATGCAGGAGGAAGCATTTTCTCAGTCTTCTCTCCACCAGTGTTGAGAATGCAACGTTGTAACACTGCCTAGGCTGAGATGTTATCAGTCTGCTGCATGTAGAAGGAAGCATTTCCTCAGTCCTCTTTCCCCAGTAATCAAACCGTAACATTATATCAGTTGCAGGAAGCAGCTTTTCCTCAGTCTCCTTTCCTCCACTGATCATACTGCAACATTGTAACTCTGCCTAGGCTGAGATATTATCAGTCTGCTGCATGCAGAAGGAAGCATTTCTCAGTCCTCATTCCCCGAATGATCATACTGCAACATTGTAACTCCGCTTAGGCTGAGATGCTATCATTCTGCTGCATGGCGGAGGAAGCATTTCCTCAGTCCTCATTTCCCCAATGATCATACTGCAACATTGTAACTCTGCCTAGGCTGAGATGCTATCATTCTGCTGCATGGTGGAGGAAGCATTTCCTCAGTCATTTCCCCAATGATCATACTGCAACATTGTAACACTGCCTAGGCTGAGATGCTATCATTCTGCTGCATGGCGGAGGAAGCATTTCCTCAGTCCTCATTTCCCCAATGATCATACTGCAACATTGTAACTCTGCCTAGGCTGAGATGCTATCATTCTGCTGCATGGTGGAGGAAGCATGATCGTGAAAAAAATAAAAATAAAAAATAAATGCAAATTTTTTACTTGCAAAAAAGAGGTGCATTTATTCTTTTTTTTTTTTTTTCTTCTTTTTTTTTGGTGAACTTTACCTTTCCAGTGATCCGATTACAACATTGTAACAGTGCCTAGGCTGAGATGATGCCACCAGTCACGACAGGCAGGAGGCATCATTTCCTCAGTCTCCTCTCCACCAGGGATCAGAGTGCAATATTGTAACACAGCCTAGGCTGAGATGATGTCATCAGTCTGCTGCATGCAGGAGGAAGCAATTTCTTTAGTCTCCTCCCCACCAGTGATCAGACTGTACACTGTAACTTTGCCTAGGCTGAGATGATGTCAGTCTGTTGCATGCAGAAGGAGGCTTTTTCTTTACGCCACTTAAACAATGTGCGGTTTCTGTTTCGATCAGAAGGGGATCCGCTCATAGATCCCTTGTTGATCAGAGCCCAGCAGGCGAATGACAGGTGCGTGTCAGATCACTTCATACAGAATGCATACTGACAGAGCCTGCTCTGGGTGGCTGGGTGTGACGAAGTCCACTGTCTATGTACACCCGACTACCTTCGATCTGCCTACACAGGAGAGGATGGATCCCTCCTATTTGTTTTTAGTGGACCAGATTTGATAGAAGGTAGGCACCTGTTGATCCACAGGGGTCAATGGACCACCCAAATCTGTTCACCTGAAACACTGACAGATAGATCTGATGGGAACAGTTGTGAAAAGGGGGCCTAAATTTCCTCTCCACCAGAGATGAGAATGCATCATTGTAACCCTAGCTAGACTGAGATGTCATCAGTCTGCTGCAGCCAGGAGTAAGCATTTCCTCAGTCTCCTCTCCCCCAATAATTAGACTGTACATTGTAACTTTGTAGCCAGTCACAAAGTGAGAGTCTTCAGCTGAGGTTGATCTGTGTCAGGCATTTGTGAACACAGCCAAGAACTGCACAGGCACCAGGAATCGCTTTTGGCATCTCCATCCTGTGATAGGTGATAACCCTGGATGAGGCCTGAAGAAAGTTTGCTCTGTCCTTCTGGAGAAT